ATGACCCTATGTTGATGCACCTACTTAAATGATTAACTGGGTGGGCATAGTGTATCCCACAAGTTGGAGCTATTAAACTAAATGAGGGATGTAGAGTTCCCCTCCAACCTCACCGTTTGCCCCTTCAGCTTACCACCCGTGGTGGGGGCTCCTAAATAAATCAACCGGGAAACATATTTTTCAATATTACAAGTCCTCCACACCTCCATGCACCTCTCAGTTGTACCCCTTAAAGCGGATATCTGCCCTTCCATCTAGCGGATCTTTTCTACCCACCTTGAAGGCACATTGTTGCATCCAGAAAGCAGGTAGCATTTTTTAACTAGAGATGGAGCTTAGTACAATTAAAATGCATTTCTGCTGGAAGAAACACTGAGGTTATTTCAAAAATGAGTAGAGGGAAGAGATGAATTGAATGGAGGTTGAAAATGAAATTCCTTCTTTCTTGTCACTGATCCACAGTGACGTCATGTCCGGTTTAAGTGTGGTAGTTAAACTACATATATTTATAGCTGATATATACACATATATATTTATTTATCAATATGATATACTGGTTCAAATATATAACATGTTAAAATGTATACATGAACACACACATACTAGTTTCTGCTGTCCCACTTTCAGACTTTCAGAATGAAAGGGAAAACCCTAGGGGCAGAGAAGCAAAATAGTATCTTGGATATTCTGAGAGATTTCCTAGGAGTCTGTACCGGTACATTCTTGTGCTTCTGGGTTCCCTGGGGTGCCTGTTTGGATTCAGTATACTTATTTTGCTGGCAGCTACTAAGCTTTCTACTTACCATAATGGACTTACTAAAATGATGTGCCTCATATACATTTTATAGCAGTCCATCTATTTGTCTGTCTGTTTCACTGTAACTAGTTGTCCACTTGTCTGTCTAGCGCTGCCTCTATATATTTACCTGATTATACAATGTCACAGAAATAAAATACCACATTTTGAATTTATTTATTTTTTTACAGATAAAGCAGGAAAAAAATATGAAACTATAGTTATTGTTCTGACTGATATTATTGCAAAATAGAATTGATTTTGGCAAATTTCCCATGGAAATAAATATGTACTTTTTGCATTATTCTCCAATGCAGTATCCACTGGTGGAAATTAGAAAGTGATGGAACGGATGCCAGGTCTTTTAATTCATTTAGAAGTTTCCACATTAATCAATCTGGTTTGGACATGTCCTTCACTCACATTGGCCAGGTGTGGAATTCAGTTGAGATGTCTCCTGGAGGTAGAGCAGCCTGAAGAAGGAATCAAACTTTTCTGACAATTTATAGTGTTAGAGCAACAGTTATCAGCACAAATGCAGTAATTCCATGGATGCTGGCCAGGTTAATTAATTGGAATTAATACTCTGTACAATAGAAGGCATTATTTCAAGAATGACTATTTTAAATTGATCTGCAGCAGGAAGAAGCCATAATTTGAGTGATTTTTTTCAGAAGATGAAGAATGTTTAAAAAAGAAAAATTCTGTACAAACTGATGCAGTTTTTCTCTGTAAAAAAGAATTAAGATTATATCCAATATAAAATTATCATGTTTTATCAAAGAACACTATTAGTAGACTCATCTGTAAGTCGCAAAGTTCAACAAGGAAACATTTGAAATGACCCTGATAAATTGCGTGAATCTATAATAATGCTGTATACATGTGATTATATATATATTGAACCACCACAAAGAAATGCCACTGTCAAAATGATGCTATTAACGTTAGTAAGAATAGAGGATGCTTATGTTTAAGGGACGTTTAGGGTTAGGGGACTCAAAGTAAACCTGTCCTATAAAAGTTCAAAGGCTGTAAATATACAATTTTAGTGCTTTTACTTCCAAGGTTTACTGCCAGCACATTGGTATCAGTGGCATTAATCACTTCATTCTTATACACCTCCAAGATGGACTTGTTGGGAAAGTATTTGCTTGGATGGACTGCAGGAGAGCCACCTTGAGGAGGTTTCTCCTGCTCTCACCTGTCACTCAATCATCAGCATAGACCTTTATTCTGCCTATATAGATTGGTGTATGCAGAAAAAAAATTGATTGACAGATGAGGGGATGGGATTTAAAGATAATTAAATTAAAGTATATATATACTTTAATTTAATTATCTTTAAATCCCATCCCCTCATCTGTCAATCAATTTTTTTTACTATTTACTAACATAACTTATAGATGAGGTTTTATGCATTTGAATTCAAAGCCTAAGTTGTATGTACCATCACAGGTACAATTCAAGGTTATGGGTAAATTTGGATAGGAAGATATTTGCCTTCATGTTACTGTGGTCCAAAACTCCTATAATTCAAAGCAAAACTGTGCCCTATGCATCATTTTAGATGTTGCATCTTGTTTTGTGTTTGTGTGTGTGTGTGTGTGTGTGTATGGTGGTTTTAAAGCCAATGTGATCACAATGTCATCATGATGCCAGGCCATTTTTTTTTGTACAAGTTTTCAAAAAGTCAAGCTTTTTTTTAAAGTGAATCTAGAAAACATTCACAATAGGAATTGTTGAGCTAGTGTATCCAGTAGGGCCACACAAACCATATAAGTGCTGTGAATTAAATGGGAAGTAGTAATGTGAAAAGATACTCAATTTAAATTTACAGAATCTCAGAAAGAACACCTGTCCTTTGATTCCAAGCAGTAAAGAATCCGAAGACTCAGAAACAGCACTTCTACATTGAGTGATTTTAGTCAGAACATCCAAATAGATGAACTTTTCAACGTTTTGACACTGGAAGTATCTTTGTCTAGGCTTGACAAAACATGCTAGTGGAAGTGTGTTGTTAGTTTGATGGGTTTTTTTTTTTTTTTTTGAATGTTCTGAATAGATTCACTCAGAGAAAAAGCAGTGTCGCAGAGTCTTATATGACTTTGCTGTGTGAATCCTTAGTCATAGGAGCATTTTTTAATGGACCCTCTTAGAAACTGATTTCAGTGGGTAAAAGAATTACTCAAACCCACCTAACGTGAATGACACTTACAATGTTGATGTGCCAAGATCAGACACTAGACTGATGTAGTTCAGAAAACACGTCAAATATTAAAATATATAGAGAAAATGTCTTTACTGGAAGATCTAGTTTGAATTTTCTGATATATCTATTAACAACCTGATTTTTGCCCTTGAATTTCATTGCTTTAGACATCACTCATATTCAGCAATAAATACTATTAAAGTGTGTAATTGTGCTTTGAACTTATAAATTTCATTTTTGTAACTGCTTGCAGATTGTGGATTACACTGCTAAAATAATGACATAGGCCCAATCAGTGAGCCATAGGTGTATATGTCACTTAGCATATATATTAAGTGTTAACATTTGTGCACAATTAAGGATAATTTGCTAGACATGTTTATAGCTATTAAAAATTTTTTGGTAGTCAGAAGTAAAAATACTTACATTTCTGGTTTTGTTTCCATTTGTTCGTTATGTTGACTTGAAGAATTTTGGCCCGATTCAAATGAGTAGTAGTACTAGGAAAGACACACATAAGTCATTAAGTAGCCAGCACACACTCACTGGTCAAGAGTGCATTATCTTCCATGGAACAGGCAAGGTTTGCTATAGAACTAGTTTCTTCAAACTGATAGCCCCAGCATAGCAATAATTCAAAACTAGACAGATTTCACAAAGAAACTATTTTGACCTATGTTTTTTGTGATCCAATAACTATGGAGTGCTGAAACCTGAAACTGGGTGTTTTAGTTATTTTTCTTTGTAGCAATAGATCAGAACAGAACAAAAAACTACAACAGAGTCCAATTCTAAAGCTGGCTCTGTTTAGGCACTACACACATTCTGAGAAAGACAGACAAACCAATGGGAATGTGGATGCATATGTTTTCAGATAGACAGGACAGGCAGACACAAAACTCAGAAATAATTTTGTTCTGTAACAAATGACCAAGTTAAGGATCTGCTGAAATGTACTTGTTAGTATTTGATTCTTTACTGTGAATCACTGCCAGGAAACACAGTTTTTTTGTGTTTATAAGTTCATGTTGCATTTTATCATGTCCTACACTGTTCAGTATTTAACAACTTCTTGATACTTTGCATTTCAATTTTAAACACCTGTCACAAAAAAGATAAACACAATCAATGTGATATTCAGAGCCATTTTATGATGTTTTGTTCATGAGCAAATATGTGTTAAAATAAACAGTTTTTTCGACAGTCGTATGAATGCTTTTACAGTTTTATTAGGTTCCAATCTATCTAATATTAATATATTTATGGCATTTTCTGCCCTTCTTTCCTACCCTTTGCATCATTTATAAAGGGATTATATATGTTTGGTCACTTCCATACTTGGAATAAATTCAACAGTTACTTTACTTACTTTTGTAGGTTAAACTCAAAGAAATGTAACACTTAGTTAAACTGGTCTTTGTGCTACAGTTTACAAAACAACTGTTATTAAAAAAAATAACTGATTTATTTATCAGCTTTAATATCTAGTTCTCATGCTACCTCAAAAAAAGCAAAACAAGATGGCTGCTCAAGGTGACCCTATTTTGCAAATGTAGTCATATACATTCAGAAGACTGCAACTGTGCACATAAAAAAAAAAATGTCTGTTTGGTAGGATTTGTTGCAAATACTGCATATTTTACAGAGGTAATTATGCTTCACTTATTTTAGGGTACCTTTCGGATGTTTATTGTTATTGACAAATCCTACTTTGTGTGCCAGAGGCAGTACTGTAGTCCTTAGCAACCTCACTAACAAGTCGCACAGCATATCTTGAATTTACATTAATCACATATCTCCCACAATTATGATGCTCAAAACTGTGAAACTGTGTTCTAATTTTTTTCTCTCTGTATCCAATTCTTACAGACAGTCAGCATATTTTTATACTTTTTTTTCTGTATCTGAACAGGTGTCCTTGTACAGAATTGCCTGCCATCTCACTGGATTTATTGAATACAATTTATTGAGTTCAATTTCCATTTATATTATATTGCCTGTTTCCACTATTTTGACTTTATCACATTTCCTGGCTCAATATCTACCGTGTTACTACAGCTAAAAATGCAGCAGAACTCTTGTCTTGGAGATTACTCTGATCCCACAGTTAAATTCTCTAGAACTCTCACTGGAGGAGGTCTTTTTGAAGAAGAATTCTGGGAAAGTAACTACGTGCCAACAACTATCAAATGTCATCACAAATGACATAAGTTCACTAACCGGATAGCTAGGGGCTTTAAATCCAGCTCACACTGAAACAAGACCAATTAATTGGACACATTGTCATGGCTGGAGGGCCAACAAAATAATGCGTCATTTTTATCTTGCTTCAAAGGGGTTAATTTTAAATTGATTCCGACTTGTTTTTTTTTGTTTTTTTTCTTCAGATGAATGATTGTTCATTATATAGACATTAAAGAACGTATTCAACCGCACAGCGTTTGTGAAGTGATATTGCTCTGGCCGTCTTGTCAGCTAATGCCGCTTAAGTTGTCTGGGGATTTAATAGGAATCCTATATCTTTATTATAAGGTATTGTATTTTTATGGAATGCACGAATAAATATGAAGAATAATTTAATACTTCTGCATGAATTAAGGAGCCACTTCGGTGCTTCCATCTGCACAGTCTGCGTAGTGAAAAATGAAACAATATCTTGGCTGGAAAACATAATATGGTGAGATTTTCTCAAGTTAATTGACACACTGCTGTGAATGTTAATTGTCGCAAGGGGACTCCAAAAGTGTCCATGTTCCCCATTTTTAGTTCTTTATTGAGTTTAATGACTATTAAAGTTACTTGTGCTCCAAGGCAGAATCTCATTATCCAGGCTCATGCTTACGGTTATGGTGTATGGGAAAAAAAGACACAGACCCTGCAAGTGGGAAGTGAAACTCTCTGATTGCTGTGTGAGGCGTCCTGTTGTTCCTAAAATAACTACATGCGCAGTGGGGACGCTCCTCTTAGTCCACAGTAATTTAGAACTCCCTAGGCCTGGCAGAATTATACACCCTTCATATAAGAAAGAGACAAAGACTCCTTTGTGGTATTAAAAATGCTGAGAGTCACTTGTTGTAAAACGTCTGGAATACCCCTGGGCAACACAGGCATTTTCAAAGAGTATTTTTTTTACTTCAAGGAGTTTTTTATTTATTTCTTTTTTAATCTGTTTTTTTTTTATTTTTTTTTACCATTAATCAGGATAGTATTACATGAGATAACATTTCATAAGACTAACATGTTCCAATCTAAGAATACAATATGTCAAGCAGTACAGCAAAGCATATTATCATGTTAGTATATATTATTCAAGGATTTTTTTTAAAATGTTTTTCAAGGATTGCAGGATGATTATTTACATTTAAGGATACTAATCTCTATTAATTTGCACCCCAATATGCTCAGATGGCTACAGGTAAATTTATTATACATAGAGTAAGTAACTGAATGGGAAAGATTTTCAAATCTAGCTTCTTTCTCCATAATTCTTGCAAATACGTATATTTAACAATGCAACTTTTACAAAGGTAGAATTAATATTCCTCCAGATTTGATAAACTGAGAACAAGATTTATAAATACAATTGGTCTGCTCCATCCATTGTACTATCTTAATTACCAAATTAGTACAGGCCCCTTAATATAGATTCTGTATTTAAAAGGACAAATGAATATTTTTACGATATTTATAGCTCTGCTTTTCTGTACATTTTGACATGGATGTTTTACCGAAAATTAAATCTACCGTATGTATTGTTCTGCTCAGCTATTACATGGTGTTTACACCAAATAGCAATTCTGACTTCTTGTTGGTGATGAGACTGAAGAGCATCATTTCACTTATGATATAATTCTAATATAATTCTCAAAATTATTACTCTTTTTAAAACAATGAGGGTCCATTCTTCCCAAACTGGAGGAGAAATCACTCGTTTTTTTCCCATTGCATAGAATTTAAGCTTGGCATTTGTAGACAAGGAGACCTCATTGGGTTGAAGTGGAACAGAAGGGTTGCAAACCAGCAGAAGTATTTATGCATGATGGGATGACCATGTATCTCAAAATGCAAAATTCTCTCAGGGGAATAGCAGCAGAGTAATCGAACATAATCTATTAAATTAAAAATAAGATGGAAACACCCTTAAGAAACCATGAGAATACACTAACTGATAAACAATGACAAAAAAGCTGGAGAATTCATGGCAATAGGAAACTGGAATATAAAGGTATCCTGTCCGTTTAGGTAACAGGAGACAATGGATCCAGTTAGGCCAGGGGCATGCTTCCTCCACCATATTAAATAAAAGTAGAAAATGTTTGGTCCCCTATTCAGGGATTCCAAACAAGCCATCCAGAATCCAAAGTTATGGTGTAACTTACATGTCATTGCATCTTCTTGAGAAACACATCTTCAACAGATATCGGAGGATGTATGTGTTTCATATTTGAAAGACACTTTATCAAAGACTCCACTAATCCAACCCAAAATAACCTGAGACTGAAACAAAACTCAAAAGTAAAATGTTGAGCGGTATCGGGGATTGAACCTACTACTGTATTTGTCTCAATCATACTGTCAATGTGGGGTAATCAAAGGTATTCGAATATGTTGTTTTTCCCACCAACTCACAGTGGACATGTGATGACAATCTTTGAAGATTTACCAGCTGCAGCATTTAGCATTGAATATATACAGCTTCGGTATTGAAGCAATTCAGATATATTGCTATACTGCCACACAGAGCAAACCGCAGGAGGCTAAATGTTCCTGCAATTTCTGTCAATCTCCTTAGTAACTCAATCACAATGATGATGCTTTCACAATTAAATGAAAGTAGCAAATGTATTGCTTCCCTTCAGACACCTGTCATGGCAATCCCAACCCACATGCTGCCACCTCACGATTCAGGAAAAGAAATGTAGATTTAAATTCAAAATATTTGTGTCCGTGCATGAACATAGGGCCATCTCTTGCTGCGAAAAACCATACATGATGCTGTGAAACAAGTGAACTCATAAAACACTGTTCTGTTTATCTTTTATTTCCAAGATCAGGCCACCCACATGGAACAAGAGTAATCCAATAGATGCATTAAAACATTTATGTATTTATTACAAAATAATAGACAACCGGGCTATATTACAATACTCTTATACAGTAATAATAAAAAGTAGTGACAGTTTTTATTAATCAGCTCCAGACGCACCTGACTCGTAGGGTAAATGCAACAAGCTTCTTTTTACCAGCTATTGTAGCTTGTTTAATAGGTTAACACACTCACATTTATACAAATATGATTCCTCTGCCCCACAACACCCTTTACTTCCAGAGTTGAATTTATTCACCACTGGCTGTGAGGGAAATTTAGATAATCTGCTAGTGGCTGTCATGCAGAGGAAAGAATTATTTTAACAGTCAGAGATTCTAAGAGACGCGGTTTATATTCCTATGAAATATGTATCAGAAGTAACTTGCTTATGTGCTTATGGTGTCGCATCACTAAATGGGTTAAACACATTAAACTGATTAAAATAGATAGGACATAACACAAAAATAAAATATGCAGTGCAAAAATTGTGGCACAATTTTTTTCTGTAAGAAAACATACCAACATATTATTTAAAATTTAGAGCTTGGATGAACAGCTACTATGCTTATGTGATGTCTCATAAAGTGCATAAATAGTAAATATTACAAATAAAAAACATAATAAAGTTTGTTTTTAGATGTGCTTTGTCTTCTTGACAATGCACACTGAATAGGAACGTATGTCTAAGTTAATGGAATGCATAGAATAAATGTTGCTTTTTTACTTGCAATACTGACTATTTATGTAATATCATTTAAAGCACTGTATTAATTTTATAGTTTATAATGAATAGTTTTTGTTTTGTTTTCTTTTTATTCCACCAGATTTAGTGTTTCTTGTCAAGGTTTGGTACCAGCTACAAAAGGATATTCCTGGTATTTAATCCAGAGCCAGGAATAGGTTTCTTGGCCAAATAAGCTGTTCAGCTGCTTTAGAGTCCATACAAAGATATGCAACCGTTTTCACTGTTGGTATTATTGTTTTACTTTGTATGTATCCCAAATTGGAACCTATGTGCTTTTAAATGAACGTAACAGCTATAAGAAGCTCAAGGGTGCCATCTTTAAGAGCACAACACCTCTTATTAAAGCCCTTTGTAAGGGCTTTAAAAAACATAAGTTTGAAGGAATTATCCCTTTTTTCATATGCCTTTTAAATACCACATTAAGAACATTTTTATGTTGTTTACAAAATTAGCCATTTAAAGGATCACTATAGAGTCAGGAACACAAACATGTATTCCTGACCCTATAGTGTTAAAACCACCATCTAGCCCCCCCGAGCCCCTCACGCCTCCATAAATATGGCAAAATCTTACTGTATTCAAGCCAGAAGCTGTAGATCTGCACACTGTTTGCCTAAAAAAAACAAGCAGAAGTAGCCTGATCCAATCACAATGCTTCCCCATAGGATTGGCTGAGACTGACAAAGAGGCAGATAACGGGCAGAGCCAGCATGATTCAAACACAGCCCTGGCCAATCAGCATCTCCTCATAGAGATGAATTGAATCAATGAATCTCTATGAGGAAAGTTTGATTTTGTCAAACTGCAATGTCACAGCAGTATTTAAAAATGCCTAGATGTTGCCCACTGAGCTACCAGAACAGGATTAAAGTAATGTGCCTGGCACACATGCAGTTGCAAGTGCCCATCTAACAAACAGACTGATTGATTATTTCTCTGTGGCACTGGGCTCAGGGCAGGGTACAAAAATGTAGTATAGCACCCACAAAAATAATTGCTGTAGTTTGCAGATTCAACACCAGAATTCTTTCCTAATCTGTCCCTCACAACTGCAGCATCCTCTCCTTAAACTAATAAGAGCTCATGTGACTCCAGCTTATATAGAGGCTGGGTCACATGCTGCACTGGCCAATCACAGCCATGCCATTAGTAGGCATGGCTGTGATGGCTTCTACGGGCACACAAGTCAAACGCTTGTTGATTGGCTGCCCTGCAGCTTTTCAAAATGCGCCATTAAATCGCCGAAAACCGAACTCGAACCCGAACTGTTACTGAAAAGTCCGGGTTCGGGGTCAAAAATCGTAATGTTCGGTACGACATCTCTACCCCTCACCTATGTAATACCTAATAATATTGTTGACTGTGCCAGCAAACAAGGTTTACATATA